TGACGCACTGTAAATACTTAGTCGTTTTCAATCGGATTAAATACGTCACGGCTGCATTAAGTTAAAGTTGCTTTAAGATTAAAATTAGAATTAGAAGTTTTGTGAAATGAAAAATCTAAAAACCTATCTTAACTTATTTCGAAATAAATCGGTGTAAACAGTGACGTATCAAGTACTTAGTTTGCGCCAACCTGATACTCGTATCAATTAATTTAACGGTGTAAACTAGGCCATTGAGTCAACAAATCGAAAACGCGCTAATCTACATCTACATAGAAACGGACATTAACAGCGAAAGTATGGACGCGCCTTGTGGAGGCGCCGCGGTCGGGCGTGCGCGTGCGCGGCTCGCGCGCGACAAGCAAAAATAAGATGGCCGACCAAGGAAACAAATAGAGCGCCGTCGTAAATACACGGGCCGTCCGTAACACGTTCTGTGCGTGGGGGCCGTCTGCATCCGCACGTGCGTTCGCCCGACGTACGACTCGATTCGTCGCGTCGGTTTGGCAAATCCGTGGACGTCCACTCGACCGACGGCGCTGCTCCCCGCGTGCTTCCTTCGTGCGAAAAACGCGCGCGCGCGCGCGCGCGTGTGCATGCACGTTTCGCTCGCGTTTCTCGCGTCCCAGCGTGTACCGTAGGTCCTCGCGTTCGCGCGAGGAAGTCTTTCCCTTTCCGTTCATCTCTCTCGTTTACGCGACACGCGCGCGCGGTACCGCCACAACGCCACGCCACGACGCGCCGCGTCGCACCGCGCCGCACCGCACGTAATCGTGCCGGGGGTGTCGTGCACACGCGGCGGTGGTGGGACTCCACCGCGTGGGACAAAGGGAGAGAGGCCGTCGACGGGGAGCTTCCTGCGAGCCGCGGAGACGTCAGAATGCAATCGTGCGACACGTGCGACACGAGTCTACCCGTAGCCAACACTCGCTGTCCGTCGCCTAGCTCCTCATGCTAGTCTCGTCTTCCGAATTGCTCGGGGCACAGCATGAAGGAGATGCTCGGAGGGTGCTGCGTGTGTTCTGACGAGAGGGGCTGGACAGAGAATCCGCTGGTGTATTGCGATGGACAGGGATGTACCGTTGCTGTGCACCAAGGTATATTTATCACATGTCAAGACCGCAAAATTCAACTCTCCCTCCTTGTATTGAACTGTAGAATAACGTGTATTATTGTTTTACAGCATGCTATGGCATTGTTACTGTACCAACGGGACCATGGTATTGCAGAAAATGCGAGTCACAGGAGCGCAGTGCTCGAGTGGTATGGAGAATCGTTTCTTTACGCTCGAGAATGCTTTTCGCAATATTCTTATTTTTTTTGTAACAGACTACATGTTCGATATATCTGTTCCTTCATTTATTATGATGGAATATGAACGTTTTCATTGAAACATACCTTTTTCAAATAGCGCTGTGAGTTGTGTCCGAGTCGGGATGGAGCCCTTAAGAGGACAAATCAGGCCACTTGGGCGCACGTCGTGTGTGCTCTCTATATTCCGGAAGTTCGATTCGGTAACGTGACTACGATGGAACCAATTATACTGGAGCTGATTCCTCAGGAGAGATTTAGCAAGGTGAACGTCATCAACGTCACTTGTGTGGCTGCGAAATGAATTCTTTACTGTGTTTAATATCAATATTGTTTTACTTACGTCTTGTAGTATAGAAATTTTTATGATTTTAGACATGTTACATCTGCGAGGAACAAGGAAGAGGTAGCAGAGCAAACATAGGAGCTTGCATGCAGTGTAATAAAACGGGCTGCAGGCAACAATTTCACGTCACCTGCGCACAGGCTCTAGGCTTGCTCTGCGAGGAAGCTGGCAACTATCTCGACAATGTTAAATATTGCGGCTACTGCCAGCATCACTATTCGAAATTGGTGAATAATTCAGCATTGAATACATATTAATTAACGAATATCAGACAATTGCTTAGGTATTTAATTAACATTGTGAATGAAAGCTTCTTAAATAATTGTGATTAATTTGCAGAAAAAGGGCGGTAACGTGAAGACGATACCGCCGTATAAACCGATACCCGCCGACAATGGTTCATCGGACTCGTCGCCGGAGAAAGAGGCGGAGACGCCAATAAAATCGACGAGCGGCAAACGGAAGAGCTCGAGCTCCAAGTCTAGCGCGAATGCGAAGGGTAAATCCAATGCTAGTCCCAGTTTAGAGATAAACGGAGTTGCGGACGACAAGAGCGGTGGCAGCGGTCGCAATACGCCCAAAGACAATTCTTCCACGAGTTCCAGCAGCAAATTCACGACTTCTAACTTCGTCGAGACAGTTGTCACACAGTCGGAGAGCGTGTTCGGGCATGACAGCGGCGGAGGTAGCGGCACGGTTACCACTGTCACCACGGTGACGACCGCTTCCGCGATGAAGACGAACGCCGGCAACTCGAACACAGCGCACAAGAACGTTGGCGGTCAGGGAAAGTCCAACTCGACGTCCAACAAGACGTCGAGTCACACCAGCAAGAAGAGGAAGACCGGAGCGCGCACGCCGACCGTGATAGCAAGCGAAAACTCGAATCAGTCGGTCAGCTCGGAGGCCAGCGGATCGGTCATTTCCATAGTGCAGCAGACTGTTCCGAGCAACAACGTGCAACCAACAATCACCGAGGTCACTAGCTTGAGCGTGACGATAGAACCGGAAAAATCGAAGAAGGTGAAGATCTTTCTATTGTATTAAACTAATTTAGCGCCTGGTCTGAACTTGCACAATCTCTATTTAGCAGCAGTTAGGAGTAAAAATTAAGACTTGATCTCACGATGTTTCAATACTTTGTTCTAATTCGTAATAAATTGCCGGTATAACTGATGCGAACAGATTACTATTGAATCATTTAGAGTATATAAAGAAATAGTGCGAAATAATATTTTATTAGACGTTGTATGTGGATTTTTTATTGTTCACTTGTGAAAACTATGAATACATATTACAGAATAACTAATATTAATTTGTTTGTGAAATATTCATGTTTATGTATAATATTATAAAAACATTGATATAATGGTTTTTATTAAGGCAGAAAAACATTTCTACATTTATTTAAAATATTGTATCTCTAGAATATGATCAAAATTTTCAAATTTTATGCTAAAGTTGCAAATATTAAGAACAAAATTGTAAAGACTTAAAGCTTGCGTCTTTTGAAAAATTAAATGTTTAAAACATTCCGCCTGCAAAATCACCTTACATACTTAAGTATAAATGAAGACACTTAATCATTATTTATCCGCTAACCACTATTTATTCATCACTTAACCTGTTAGATATTTCAGAACGAAATTATTTTATGGTAATAAACAGGAAATATAATAAATAATAATAAACACAAAAAATCATTTGATCACGAATGGTTGGTCTTGCTATTCGGGGACAGTATCTCTAAACAATCAATTGTATCGTAGATTAACGAAAAGTTTGATAAGTGCGATAAGCAAATCAGAAAAATTCCTCCTATAAATCCATTAACGTGTATCTGTTGAAGCTATTTCAAACAAAATGGCTTTCGGAGTCAAAGGTATAATTGAATTGTTATCGCGTCGTTTGCTTTATCTCGATCTTTCTTCAGCGCGCCTACGACGAATTAGTCATTTATCTGTAGAAAGCCTGTACTAGCGGGATACCGAGGGACGTGGCGATAACGCATGTTATGTTTCCGATTGCAGACGAAAGTGGAGAGCCCGATTCAGTCGGCGTCGAGCACGCCGGTAGCCACGGAGGCAACCACCACCCCTGTGGTGATGCCGGTGACCCAGTCCTCGGTCGTCACCCAGTCGCCGACGACTACGTCGAACAGCATTGTCGTGTCCGTGCCGCTGATCGCTACCTCTCTCGCCGGCGCGGTGACGAGCGAGACGACGATATATCAGCAAGTTCAGCAAGTTCAGCAGAACATAATCACCACGGCGGCCAATACGGAGCCGCGGTCGAGTACGATGCCGAGCACTGAGAGATTCATCGCGGAGAGTGCACCGATAAAACGATCTCGGTAAGTCCTCACCGCGATTCGAGTTGGTTGAGAAAGCTCGCTCGCTATTGAAGGTTCTTCCGAAAAAATGCAAAGAAAAAAATCGTGCATTCAAGAAAAGCAGACGAGCGATGAACACAGTTCAATGGGTCAATTCTAAACAGAATCGTAAGGCTCGTAACTTGTTCTCATAAAGTCCGGTCTACAATTACGTAAGCGTAGTTGTAAGTGATGTAATTGTAAGAACTGATCAATTACAGTCGAATATTGATTTGAATTTGTCGATATGGTAAATTCTTACAACTACAACTACTTGCAACTATGCTTACGCAATTGTAGACCGGGCTTAAAGATTCATCTACAATGAGAGTAGTAAGTCGTAAGCCGTAAGAAATTGACCAATCGCAGTTGATTATTCTTTTTATATTCGACTCTGATTGTTCAATTTCTTACGGCTTACGATTTACTACTCTCATTGTAGATCAACCTTTAAAAGTCCATCTACAATGAGAGTAGTAAGTCGTAAGCCGTAAGAAATTAACCAATCACAGTCGATTATTCTTCTCATATTCGATTGTGACTGGTCAATTTCTTACGGCTTACGATTTACTACTCTCATTGTAGATGGATCTTAAGACCCGTTCTACAATACGTAGTAAGTTGTAAGAATTGACCAATCACAGTCGAATACAAGAAGTAGGGGCTGTCTACAATACGTCGTATGTCAGATCGTAAGCCGTAAATCGTAAGAATTGACCAATCACAGTTGAATGTAAGAAAAATATTCGACTACGATTGGTCAATTCTTAGTTAGTATGATATGAGTAGTGACTAATGGCTTATTGTAGAAAGCCTCGTACCTTTGATTGAGATTGGTAAATTTTTATGACTTACGACCCGACATACGACGTATTGTAGAACAGGCCTAAGGCCCCTTCTACAATACGTCGTATGTCAGGTCGTAAGCCGTAAGTCGCAAAAATTGACCAATTACAATAGAATATTTTTCTTACATTCAATTGTGATTGGTCAATTCTTACGACATACGATTTACGACCCGACATACGATGTATTGTAGAAGGGGCCTAAGTCTTGTAAGAACTTATGATTTGGTGATTATAAGTGTCGGTCCACAATGAGGATTTTAAGCTTTAAGCAGTAAGAAATAGACCAATCGTAGTCGAATATGAGGAGAATAATCGATTGTAATTCGATATCAATCAATATCTTACGGCGTAAGATTTAAAGTTCTTATTGTGAACCGACACTAAGGGACACTGTCTACAATACGTCGTATGTCAGATCGTAAACCGTAAATCGTAAGAATTGACCAATCACAGTTGAATATAAGAAAAATATTCGACTATGATTGGTCAATTCTTAGTATGATATGAGTAGTGACTAACGGCTTATTGTAGAAAGCCCTTAAAGTGTCGTCTACAATAAGACTTAAGACTTAAGATTTAAGAAAATTGACTAATTATAGTCGATTATTCATTTCACGTGAGAAGAATAATCAATTATGTTTGGCCAATTTTCTTAAATCTTAAATTTTAAGTCTCATTGTAGACGTCGCTTAATCAATATTTATTCAATATCTTTACAGACTTCTTGCTAGCTGTAAGACTTATGAGAAATCGTAGATTTCTATGAATGATCTTACGTCTTACGGCACGTATAGAATTCCAGTCATAAGTTCTTACAAGTCTTAAGCCTATTCTACAATACATTGGGTCATAAGCCATAAGAATTGACCAATCACAATCGAATACTATTCTTACATTCAGATGTAATTAGTCAATTTTTACGGCTTACGACTCGACATACAACGTATTGTAGAATGGGCTTTAAAGGTCTATCTACAATGAGACAGAGAGAGTAAGAAATAAGTCATAAGACATAAGAAATTGATCAATCACAATGGATTATTCTTCTCATGTTCGACTGTGATTGATCAATTTCTTACGACTTGCTAGGGTAACTGTCCCTATTTAGTGTGCCTGTACGTTTTAATGTGCTTTTATATTTAAATAAGCCATAAAAATAAACTGGTACAAATAAATAGACCGTGTTTTTTTTATTAAATTAATACTTTAACTCAATAAAAAAAAACACTGTCTATTTATTTGTACCAGTTTATTTTTATGACTTATTTAAATATAAAAGCACACTAGGGACGTACAGGTACACTAATAAGGACAGTTACCCTATTCTCATTATAGATGGACCTTTAGGAAAACAAGTTACATGCCTTTACCATTCTGTTTAGAACTGACCAATAAATCAATACATTTGTTGTAAGTATAATTACGTCACGTGATTGTGTTACAGTACATATTATCGTGTAAAATTCTGCCACAGGAGGAGGATAATCGCAACGGGGAAATATTACATTTTTGATTGAAGTTTAGTGAAGTTGCAGTGTGAATCAGAAAAAAGTGTGAATGTGTATCTCTCTCCCTCTCTCTTTCTCTCTGCCATTATTGTTGCAAAGACTTGTGAACGTTGAACTCGCGGTGAAAAATCTGTGCGGTGACTGTGCGTAAAAATGCGACAACAGATAGCGTGCCGCGAGGTGCCACGAGTCTTTCACATAAGCGACGATCCAGAAGGTGGTCAGGGAGAGGAGAGGAGAGCGCGCGACCCCCGAGGATTGTGTCACGCGCGCCGCGTGCGTTCAAAATGGCGGGCGCGATTAGTAAACAAGGTGGTCAAGGTTCTAACCTCTTCCCACGCCGGAATCGGGCGTTCCATCTAGGAGATCCCTCGTCCCCGACCGTGCGCGCGGGCGGTCCGGTCGAGCATGGGGGGACGACGGTCGTCGGGACGCGGCACCCCGGGTGCCGCGCGCATTCGCCCCCCGCGAGCGGAAGCACGAGCGGGGCTCGGCTCGGGCCCGCGAGAGTCGGCGAGTACGACGGAAGATGGAGCGTGTGTTTACATCGGTGTTCTGCCTGTGTATTGAGCACGGCAGTTCACTCGGGGTCATTGGGCGAGCGAACTCACGCGCGCGCGCGCGCGCGCTGCATAATAATTGCATCGCGGAATTGTTGCGATACCGCGACGTGTTTGTGTGCGATATTGTCGTGTAATAACGCCGTGTAACCTCGGTCGGAAGACGAGAGCGGAGGGAGAGGGAGGGAGAAAGAGTGAGATAGAAAAACGTCGTCGTTGCCGTGCCGTCGACGAGCGGCCCCGCGACTCCGCTCGCGCGCGTACTCGAGTCCGTGGAGGTCGTGGCGAGCAGGAGGCATTGAGGTTATGTTTGTTTTTTCCTCGGCGAGGCGCCTTACGGGCAACGAGCGACGGAAGGGTGTAACGTGACATCGTAAATGGCACGTCGTGACGGCCCGCCTCAGCGTGCGTTGATCCTACTCCTCGTTTTTGTCAAAACGGTTTGAGAACGTTCAAAGAATTGTACTTTCCTCCCCATCGGGGGAATGATTTCCCGATCGTGTGCGTTAAAGAAATAACGGTTTTTTTTCTCTTATTGCCATGCCGTTGGCTAGCCATTGTTATGTAAAATAATGGACATTTTTGTATTTTACAATTGAGTATCAGGATTGACCGTTAATGTTGAATGCAAATTAAGAAACGGAAAAACGCCAGTACAGTCCAAGCGAATCTTGTTGCTCGATAATATTATATACCAGGGTTGCCGTAGATTTCAAGATTACGTCTATATGGATTATTTACGTGAAATCTACATGATGTTTGCATGGTCTTTCTGCTACATAGACAATCTAGACTTGTAAACTATGTAGAATATTGTAAATTGTATCACTAATATATAAAATGTAAAAGAATTAAATTATAGAGCAGTCTCTATCCACAGTAGAAATGTCCAAAATGTATCTAGGAATAGGCTAAAGATACCACGACATCTTTAGGACATTTTTGATGTATTTTGAACATTAATTTAATTACGAGATTAAGATTAAGAATGTAACCAGAGAATTTTTCTTACTCAAATGGTAGTTTTTTTTTTTACATAAACGTTAAATTATATGTATTTATTAAATGAATAAATATAATCTCCTGACTGTCTACATAGATGACACTTATACAATAGTTTATATTGTCTACACGTAAACGTAGAGTATTATATTTTATGCGTAGATAAACAACCCTGTTATATACTGTGTGAATCTTTAATTTTATCAGTTCAAAAAATCTTAACGTGGGAGACGTATTCAAACTTGACACTAACCGTTCGATATGCTCGTGAATACTTTCAGTTCCCAGTCGTTGGACAAGCAGGAGAAGCCCCGTAAACCGAAGCGTGGCTCGTCCAATAGCCAATCATCACTGCCGCAATCGCAGACCGCGGTCCTGTCGGTCGTAACTTCGGTCGTAACCAGCACCCCAGTCGTGACGACGTCCAAGAGAGGCGCGAGGAACAATCATCAGACCCCACCGCCCGCCGCCACGGTCGCCCCGGTGTCGTCGATTATTCAGGGCCCGGCGTCGGCCACCGTCGGCCACTTCAGCAGCATCAACAGCACGGGCACGCTGAACATCATGGGGCCGACCGTCAAGGAGTCGCCGCCTAGCAGCCCTGGATCGGAGAGTATGAGCAGCAGCACAGGCAAACGTAAGAGGAAAGCTGCCGCATCCACGCCCATTCCGTCTGCGTCGACCACACCGACTGCTCTCGCCAGCGCCCCGATAAAGGAGGAGAACAACGTGAAGCTGTAAGAAATTTGCGAAGAGGAGAAAACGTGTCTTCGTCGTATCGATTGGACAAACGCGGGAATAATGTGCGAATGTCTCTCTTCTGTTCTTAGATTTCAAAATGGAGTCAGTGCACCGCACATGCTGGGAAATCAGTTGAATCCCACTTCGACGATGGCACAAAAGATGTCGGACACGCTCTCGCAGGAGCTCGAGGCTCATTCCATTTTTACAGAGGCGAGTAACTCGAATACAAACTTGATCGGACCACAGCTGCACAATCGAGTAATAGCATCTGTACGTAAAAGGAAATCAACTTGTATTGTCATATTGAATTTGAAGTCACATAAAACCGTAATCGCACTAGCGATTGAGATTGATATTGGATTGGAATTTGATCAAAGCAAAATTTATTGAAATTGATACTATTTATTTTTCTTCTAATTGATCAAGTTCCAATCCAATCTCAATCTCAATCGCTAGTGTAATTGCGGCTTAAATCACGTTGATTATATGGTGTCATGAATTCTCTTTTTCCTTATGAATTGCATTTAGGACAAATTTTTTAAGATTTTTTTTTGTTCTCAAGCAGATACGATCTAGCCAAACGGTCGTACCGCCCACTTCGTTCACTTCAGTTTTCTCAAGCAGCGCGATTGGCACGGGTTTTAATACTGCGGCTAACACCAGTGGAACTTTAGGCAGTGGAACAGTTCCGCAGACGCTCGATCAGCTGCTGGAGAGACAATGGGAGCAGGGAAGTCAATTCCTAATGGAGCAAGCCCAGCACTTTGACAGTGAGTATATACGGCAAGAGAGAAAGAAAAAGAACGTTGCATTGGTTTAAAGAGGGAAGACCCACAGATTTCTATAGAACAGATTGCTAACACGCTATAGTTTGTTACCAGTTATGTTGAAGCCATATTTATCCGGTAATTACGTACAGTGCTTTATGAAGTGGTGTTAGTGTACATTTAATAATAGTTGGTAAAAATTTTGACGTTTTGGAATGTAATCCATTACCGGGTAAAGATGACACTACTACCCCCTCTCCTGAGTTATTTGGCTTCACTTCAGTTCTCGGAGCTAGCGATCTATGGTATATAGAAATCTATGGGAAGACTATGCTTCATTTTTTCGCGATTGAAAATGTCATCGAAAGAAGCTGCATGCCACGCTTTACGATATACTTTTGTCTCGTAAACGAAAACTCGTCTTATTTAAAAATTCGCCATTTCCGACGATACGCCGCTTTAGCCTCTTAACAGAAAGTGAGCGTTTGATACTTAGATGAAACGTGATCCAGCAACGTTATCGAAATCTGTTGCAGTTGCATCCCTGCTTTCCTGCCTACATCAATTGAGAGCTGAGAACCTTAGGCTAGAAGAACATGTAAATAATCTCCTGCAAAGGAGAGACCATTTATTGGCTGTGAATGCTAGACTCGCTATTCCGTTGACAGGTCAACCTAGTTCACACCCAGGTTAGTTAGATCGGCCATTTGACGATATGTATCTCGTTTATGAAGGGACAATATGTGCGCATAATGTGCTTTTTTCTGTTATTTTTAGTGAATAATATACATCCAACGGTGAATCCGTCTCATCCTAGTGTCTCGCACTCGGAAGTACCACCCGGCGCCCCAGCACCGGTGTCTAGAGTGAGTCGCGAACCGCGAGTGAACAACACGTACTTGCCGCACTCCAGTTCCGGCGGTCATCCGACGACATTGGAGAATGGTCTGCCGCCGGACCCTTCGCCGCCTGCGGCCGCTTCTCTCGCTCAGTATCACCGAGGATCACTGGTTGCGCCTCAACCGAGCCCGACAATGAGGTAACGCGTCTGTTCTTTGCAAAAAAAATATTGTTGATACGATCGGTCCAAATTTGTTGTTCATTCTCGCGATGAAATTTAGGCACAGTCCGGCCGGAGCCGGATATCTTCAGGGTCAACCGAGCAACATAGTATCGCCAGCGCCGGCGAACACTTCTAGCGTAGTACGGAATTCGTCTGTCACGCCAGATCCATTACGTGGAGTGCCGAGGTGAGTCAGTAATATCTTCACCTTAGCCTTATTCCGTTTATCTTGTTTATGTAAATACATGGAAAATAAGATCAAAGATCTCGATATGTGAGACAAGGGTTAGGATGAATCGGTCTAAGAATCGACCGCTCTTGTACGGAATAGGTGATTTGCTTCGAACTTCGAAGCTTCGAAGATTCGAAGCTTCGGAATTAAAATCTTTGAATTCTTTCGAAGCTTCGAAGTTTCGAAAAATACATTTGTGCAAATAAATTTACAAATATTGTAAATAAAAAGGATTAATATATGTATAAGCTCAAAATGTATATACGTAATTATATCTAAAAAATTTGAAAGTAATGAACCTAAAATATTACAAGTTAATAATTAAACTTAATAATGATCAATAAAACAAATTAAGAAAATTCAAAAAAGTAAAAATAAATTTATTCTTAAATGAACAAAAATATAACAAATTAATATAATTGTTTTGGCGTTATTAAATCTTCCTCTGCATGAAACAATCTTAAAAACAGAAAATTTAAAATCGTAAAGTTAATATAAATAATTAATTTTTTAATTAAATTTGCACGAATGTATTTTTCGCAACTTCGAAATTTCGAATATTCGAAGTAAGTAAAAAGTAACAGCTCTACTATGGAACCTCGCGTCACTACTTACCTCATTACTAAATTTTTATTGATTGTCAGGTCGGCGTCGCAGCCGTCGAGTAGTTACATGCCGTCGATGTATCAGCCCACCATGTCCAGCCTCACCAGTAACCAGGTGGGCGGGGTTCATAATCTTCATTCGCATGGGCCTTCGCCGACTAGCCACGGGCCGCCGGGCAAGCCCAGCTGAAGGTAGATACAAACTCGACGTGATAGCAGCGAATTTTATAATAATTATTAGAATAAAACGAGTTTCGTTGCCACATACGTTATTCAAACGTCAAAGGACCCAATCTCATCGTAAGAGAGACCTAACTGCGCTTCTTCGCAAGATATTAACCGGATATACATTTTTCTACGCCATGTTTATCGGTAAACCGTTTTCTTACTTACGAAAAGAAATGAAATCGAATCGCTTTAGTGATGTCGATTGCAGTTTACAATGTACAGACATATATCTCGATCTTTTCACAAAGTATCTTAGTGTTACATATGTATCAGTCGTGTATACATTGTATAAATCTAAGTATTTTGCACTTAGCTGACAGCGACTTACCGTGGATCTCATTGAAACGCTGTGTACGTGTTTGCATCAAATCGAGTACTCAGTTTTTTTTGCGATTTTCTTGTTTTCACCTTGTTAGATTTTTATATATACGAGTTATATGTGCATTGCAACTGTAACAATGTAACAATATACTGGAGGCTCAAATAGGATGCATAATAATGTAAAAAGTTGCAATTCAAAACGAAGAAGCAGTTAGGAAAATTTATATCCCCTAGATTCCTCTAACATTAAGGACATTTCATCATGAAGTAATCATCATTCAATTTTAATAATTTGTTAGAAATGCTAAATTAAAATGTATCGCTGGAACATTATTATAACGTAACATTGGCATTTTTTTTCTTTAATGACAAAAATCAGGCACGTTTGAGACATACTCTTTATCTCTCTTTGTAGGCATCATCATTGAACAGCAAATCCACAGATGTACAAATCTTAGACTGTAAGTTAATCTATCGCGTTAAATAGCAATAATACAGTAGGTGTACATTCTAACGACGGTAACTGCGTGTATTTCTGGTGGTGCGATAAAAGGATTACGCGAAATTTCGGTAATTTCCAGTAATTAAAGGAAAGATAAAAAAAGGGCAAACAAAATTTGCATAATCGGTAATCGAGAGAAGAAAAAATTGGATTGATCACCGGTTACATTGATTTCGACAAGCTTTGTCATGTATGCCAACAATTCCTGATTATACATAAACGTTTTGTAAGAAACGCAATTTAAAAGCCGACGTGCTTTACTTGTGCAGCTTTCCAATATTTCTTTAGCGTACCACTGTTGAGATGTACCGCAGCGTGTGTACTATATGACAATGATGATATCGAGTGCAACCTATTTCAAAGCTAATTTAATGTATATTCTAATCTTATATACACACGTAAAAAGGGGGGGGGGGTTGAGAATACCCAACATGTACAAGACGAGCACTGCCTTTCGCCAACAAGAGCTGTGAAGTAGGTTGATCGCAATCGAACATTTTCTAGCGAACGCATGATCGTTTCGTTTAACTTCATCTCTGCCGTCCCTTCATCCCATTCCCCCTCTTCACTTAACTTTCCTATTCAAACCTGTAGATTTTATCGATACTTGGCCGTCATAAGTTCTCGAGGAATGTGAATAAAAGGAGATTTTGTGCCATCGTTTGATCTACTATAAAATTACGAGACAAATAATATTCCGATCTACCAATTATGTTGACAATATTTATATTACTTTATTGCATATTAACATTGGTGGCAATGACTCCGTGGTCGATAATATTATTTGTACCTCAACTATTACAGAAAATAGACTTATAATTGCACGTATAGAATAATTTATATATTGAAGTTTGATATTTTACAATCAGTGAAAAATTAATTTTTACTGATTTAAACAATTGATTTATATAATTTCTATTCGTCAATTTACAAAGTCCATTTTTCTTAGTACACATGATATACACAATTGGATTATTTATGTTTTCTTAGTACATGCGATTAGGTCATTCGTGTTGACTGCAATTAGTTATAACATTTATACATAATTCTTTTAAACACACAACTTTATAAATACTTTTTAAAGATATTATAAAGTACATGTTAAAGAATCAGAACTTTTTGGATATTTGTAAAAGTGATAAAAATTAATCGAGACGTCATCATATGTAGTAAAGGAAGATCATTGTGTGTAATAAGAATTAATTATTTAATTTAATTTATTTAACTAATTATATTATTCAATATATTGAACAAATTAAATTAAATAATTAAATTAAAACTATTTATAAATTTATATATGAAACAGAATCTTCCACGAGAATGATTGTGACGTTGTAAATTATAATATGTTTTAAATGAAATTGTAGCTGTAATTATTTGAGGAGGCACAATGAGAAATTACAAACAAGACCGAACCACGGCACAGATCTTCATAATGCAAATATTTAAAAACTTGTGAATACTTGTGCGATACATATTATATATGTACATGTGTATGTATTGAGATCGCCACACGCGCGAGTATAATGTCCTGTAAGATATCGGGATACGCACGAATCATATAAAAGTCGGAGATACATTGCTTAAGGACGCTGTAATATGCGTGTATGTCGAAATTGAAGTTAGTTCATTTCGCTGCGTTTTCCGTGAGGGTAACCTTCAATTTTTCTATTTGCACCATCATTGTTGTATGATTTCCGAGAGCGTGTGCGCGACGCTGTATGCAAATCGCAAAATCAAAAAGTGCTAGACAGTAGAACATTTTTAGGAGATAAGACTTGGTAGGGAAAAAAAAGCGTAAGGTATTCCGCTCAAAGGCTACGGTATATATGATAAAATGTATGTAGCTCGTTTGTAAGTCGGCGAAGAAATTTGCATGTGATACTGCAAGCAAATCACAGAATGACATGCAATCTAAAACGACAGTTGTGAAGGGAGGGGGAAGAAAAGAGAATCGACAAGTGTCCGTTGCGATCGGCCTGAATGCATAATTCACGGATAACGTCTCGTCGTTGTCGTGTCGTGTTGAAATTGCGGAAAAACGGAGGAAAGGATGGGCAATAATGTCTGTCCGACATTAGACGTCGAAAAGGTGAATTGAGGGGAGGTACACTCGCAGGATAATAACGTCCCGTGCTGTCGCTTTATTTTTGCACCGTGGTTACGCGCATAATACGAGATTTCTCAGCCTCGCAGAAACTAGTTAAACGAATGAACTATATAAATATAAATGATATATGCGTACGTATGTTCGAATTTGTCGTACAAAACACTGAAATTTTCCCGAGACCACCTGCCAGCGATTACGATGTGTACTTGTTTGTCGAGCGGCGCAGAAAGAGCTTGGAGAGAGTTTTTACGAAGAGGATCGACTGATTACATTTTTACCGCATTGTGTTCTTTGTCGTCCGCGACGATGTGTGTTCGCTAAATATCTATGTGTATCAATTTTCCCTTCCGCATTTTTATTTTACAAGACCCTAGGGTGTAATGCGTTTTACGTAAAAGTATTAGCTCGCATCGACTCGAACGACACGTTAGAGGTGGTCGAGGGACAGATAGGATAAAGTAAGGGAATCGATTGTATTGCCGACTAAAATTTGTAAGTCCGATTAGCAATTAGAGATGGGATTTTTAAGCGGAAAAAGAAGAACTCTAATTAGGGATCTAGGTTTATATAAATTGTACGATAAAAGTAATATTGTATATTCGACGAGAGCGAGGTGCGAGGAGGGGTATAGACATGAAAACACCAAACCTACAGAATAGCTTATCACCACTCAGGGAGAATCAGTTTAACTACCCAAAATTCTGCCGAGTTTTCCTTGTGGGCGTCGATTGTGCGCGCGAGTACGTGACAACCAATTGTCGAATTATCATGCAATCTTGAGAGCCATATTTATTATTGCGTCATTTTTTTTGTTGCTATATGAGACATGCTTGTGAAATAGTCATGATCGCGAAATAATAAATATAAAATTAATTATGCTATCAGATATCATTTCATCGTTATATTTTTGTCTGAATTTGAAATTTTTGCTTCGAATATCTCAAGCCCCTATACGGGCTTATGAGTTTGTATTTCGCACGACAATCCAGTCACGGTGTTTTCGAAAGACAGTTCGGTGTTCACAGCCTCTCAAGAATGCACGATGAGAAGTGTCGAACTCCAATGCGTATTGCTCGTATTGATTTGGTGAATTTCATGATTGACGACCTTGAAAGTTCGCTAGGATTTCTAAAAAGAAAGAGAAAAAAAAACAAAAAAAAAAGAGAAAACGCGTGATCTTGCGACATCGCGTTTGTACTATTGAAGAGTATTTTATGCATTATCAATATTACGACTGTATTGTTAGGGAATATATTATATATACGGTACGTGCGAGAGGCAATTACGGAGAAAATAAAATGGCAAGGAAACAGTTGTACGATATCCTAGCAGAGAAAGAGACGGAAGAAAAGAGGGAGCTGGGAGGGGGGGGGGAAATCGAAGTCACAGAGCAGTACGATGATATTTTTTCACAGCTGATCAGTGCCAAATTTTTTCAATCGAATCATTGAGAACTTCTCGATTCCTTAGGCGACTTTCGTGTCGAAGCGTACGCGTAGAACGTAGGAGAGAACCCGGCGATATTGCGAGGCGAAAGGAAGAAAAAAAGAAGAAACTCTATTTGCACATCTATTTAGTCATTGACACGGATAGGAGTCGATCGCGTCATCATCATCATCATCATCATCGTCATCGCATTGTGTGTGTGTGTGCATGCATGTGTGTATGTATATATATATATATATATATATGTGAGTCGGTGAGGCTTTTCTTTCCCTTCGAGACTGCCAGCGTCGATCATTATTTTTTGTTGTTGTAACTTCCCGTTGAATTACCTATCGTTGTGTCGCGTCATTTCTGCCAGGTGGTGCAAGGAAGAAGAGAGAAGAGGATCGGTCGCGGTTGTTTCTCTACGCTTCTGTGTTCAATCTCCAACTGCCAGAGATACAAAGCAAAGCAATTGTGTTCCTAATTATCCGAGAATCGGAATCTCGCGTCCGCGCGACAGCGTTTCATTAGATAAAACTTCCTGTTTTTTTTTGTTTTTTTTCTTTTCGTATCCAAAGCCTTCTCCGACGGCGCGGAGAAGATGGAGAAATTCATCATTGACGGTCACATCGACGTAGCGATTGTGCGCGTAGATTTTACTTTCGTAGATAAGGGATCGTATCTAAGAGCGATGCGTTAAATCTTATGTAATGGACACTTTTACCAAATAAATTGTCACTTTCCGAGTACGAGTATATTTTTACCGTGTTCCCAAGATTAGGAAAAAAAAATAAACGTTTCTCCGAGATCGTCTCTCCTTCGCATGACTTTTCGTAGTTTCACGTTTTACAACTTACTTAATTCTCCGTAAAGTAACTTGCTCGTAAGGATTTCTGATTTATTCTTTCATCAAACAGTTAATAATCTAAATAAAATTAATTTTGTTCACAGATACTACTTGATATGTAAATAATTAAATTAATCAGTTTTGTCAAAATCATTCTTAAATTCTGATTAAATGATACACTTAGCATCAAATATAACTAAAAGTTTTGCATTCGTGTTTCATGTTTAGGATCAAATTGCCGGAAATACGTATTTGAGCCGCTTCTCGATTAAAGACAAAGGGAGGATTCAATGAATTGTTGTCTTGTTTCAAAAATTTTGTTCCCCCTCGATTTTCCAATTGTATTATTTGTAACTCAAACGAGAAATGTAAACACTGTGCGATACAATTTTGTAATGTAATTGTGCATACAAAGCATGTAATAAAAGAAAACTAAACAAGACTAGGATAATCTCGATTCACTTCGGCAATCTTACGATTCTCTTAATTTTGTCATGTAACAATCGATTTTGAGTAGTGACAAGTTTAATTAATACATAATCTATATCAGTCGCTGAAAATTATTGGCGTTATTATATGTATGTTCTTTTTTTATTCATAAATCTACGTTATATATATTATGCCAACAGTTAATTGACGACTATTGCTTCTATACGAAAGAAAATATAGAGTGACACGCAAGAGTTACTTGAAATATTCTACTAAAAATTTGCGCGCTTTATTAAATAGATATACGTATAATTTCTATCGCGGATACAATATGGATATAAGAAAAAAATTGTCACGCAAGCGTTGTCACTGTCGCGTCTCGCTTGCCTTAAGTTTTTCACGAGCTTTGTAATTCGGTATCTTTTTAGTGTATATATATATATATATATATATATATATATATATGAATTATTTGTGAAATGTCGAGCCACAATCTCGGAATAAAAATATGCGATCGACTCGAAGTGGACAGCCGAGAGAAAAAGATATACCTATATCGCGAGGTCGTTCTATCACACAAGGCTCACGATATTATTTTTGTGCTGAGGGAAGCACAAGAAGCTTCCTCGACTTTCTCGTGGCCACAAACACACGACAATCCGAAGACCGCGCGGACAATTCCGCGCGGCGCTCTCTCTCTCTCTCTCTCTCTCTCTCTCTCTCTCTCCCCTCCTCCCTCTCTATCCTTCTCTCTCTTCCTATGCGACCAACGATCGTGGGAAGTCTCACCTGCGACCTCGTCTCCGACGAATCAATATTATACGAAAGCATGCGAGCAAGCCGTGGATAACGTCGAAGACGAGTCTCTTGGCGAGGCGAGGAGAGAAAGCCGCAATCGCCCGCTGTCTTTCTCGATTGCGAGCAAAATCATACGTTGTATCGGGAGATTATATCAATCTTCGCTTTAGGGAGTGAAGATTCGATTGTATTTAACGCATTTATTCACTTGGACTCCAAATAGACTCCTGTAATCCCTTTCTTTCGTAATTTCTTCTTTGCATGTCTATTTACGAAATGATTCGACGTAGAAATTATTTTCAATTCGGTTGGAAACTAAAAGTATAATAAGCTGAGAACAGAAAGCGCAAGCAATACAAACTTAGATGTGAATATTGACGGAAGAAAGAAGTATATTAAAATGTAGGATGTAATCTCGTCTTTACTATATTATATTTAATATAATTAATTAATTAACGGATCGATTATCCTTTTCCGCATTGAATTACAATATATATAAAAAAATGTAAGATTTAGAATAAATTCTGATTTTTTAACAGAAGATTTGACTGATTTTTGTTTGCTGATAAATTATTTGTATTTTGTAAAGTTTTCATAATAATAAATTTTAACAATAATTTATATTACGTTGTATATCTGCGCGCGCACGTTTTCCCTCTTCGTATCAATGGAGGGTCCATTGTTACGGCATTAGGCTCGTCGCGACATTGTCCTATGTAAAATGTGAATAGGATTTCATTGAGAAGGTTATACACTATGAGTTTTCACGCCGGATTTAACGGCAGATTTTAGATACTTATCGTAGCCGATAAATTTGCGCTCGGTGCGATTTTATCAATCATCCGAGGGGAATCGCGAATTTTTCGTCCGCTCATTCTGGATGTCGAGAATTAGAGATTAAGTCAGCTTCCTCTAATTATTACGAGTACTAAATAATTGCGAATTTTTTTATTGAAGCTACAGATTCGAATTATAATTAATTGATAATTAGTCGCATTTTTATGAGGAAAATTAATTAACAAAAAAAGAAGAAAGTTGATACAATAAAGCAGATATAATATATGAACTTTGTATTTTCTACTTAATTTATTTCAAAATTACATATATCAGTTTTATTAACTTATTTTCTACATATCGTATAATTATGTAGAAAGATTCGCTAAAGGTTTATGAAAGGATATACCGTGAATATTTATAATTGTAGTACAAATCGGTTTTATAATCTTGCAAACATTTCTCAACGTGTTATAATTTATGTCACCATTTTAGCAAGTAAATTTTATATTAAAGTGAATTATAGCGAATTTTATAAGTATAAACATGTACTGCGTATGTCTATCTTAAATTTGTTTCTGTATTAAAAGATTAATAAACGCTGACATCTTCGTTTTAATTTGCATGTTAGTTTGGTCTAATTTCACTGAATTTTTGATTGTTATTACAAGGACGAGCTTGTCTGTTATATTGTTAAAATTTTATATTCTATATTTTTTCGTGTTTCAGTACTCTTGCGTTTTTTATATATTCTGTAGAGATTTTAAAAAATCTTGTTCCTTCCCTTGGAAAGCATTTGTTCATATTCTTTTTTTTTAACATCACTGTCTCGCCGTCTCTCTCTTTGTCTCTTTCCCTTCAAAAACGTGTCATTCGTCACGATCGTGGCACCGCACGGGGATTATATTTATGATCGGGCTTAAATCCCCAAAAAGAGATAATTGGAATATAATAAAGCTCGCAGATCGAGAAGAGCTCGAAAGTGCTAGCGATACTTCTGGGAGAGGGGAGGGGATGACGGACAACCACTCGGAGGGTGCAGCTGCCTAGATATTTGCGTGTTCCAGTTTCATCCCCATGGGGAGACGAGACGAACTGCAGGGTGGATAGATGCTCTCTTTGACTCAACTCTGCACCACTTGAATCTCTCTCTCTCTCTCTCTCTCTCGTCTATCTCGTCTATCTCATACGCACTCGTACGAGAGAAAGGATGCATTCAAGTTCTGTACTTTGTATAAATTTCAGACGTAAATCCGATAGAATACATGAATATTCGCAAATTATACAAATTTACCTTTCATCAAATTTGCTTTTAATATCTAAATTATTATTCAATGCTCTTTGGTTCTGTTAAAGATTGTGTTTTCCTGTTGAATTTTCTTATTGTTTTCTTAAAATTTTAGCGCATAGAACGTGAATTAATCTTAAAAATTATTTATATATATAAGAAAGTATAATTAGCAAATAAAATTTAATAAGTAATAATATCAAATTTAAATAATTTGTATTAGGAATGAAGTAATATTTGAAATGATAAAGTTTTATGAAATTAATTAATACTAATTTATAAATTTATTAATGATAAACATTAGTGCCAGCAATTGCGGTTAAACTAAAAATCATAAATAAATTTTTTGTAATTATGAAATAATTAGATTATTAAATTAACACTTATTATAAAATTATTTAGATTAATAAAAATATAATATAGTAAAATGTGTAATTTTTAATTTGTTTAAATAAATGTATATTAGAAATTTTATTAAATTAAGAATTAAATTAGGATTAGATATCCTATTATTGTAATTAACAAAATATAATTAAAATAGTTCATAATAGTAAAATATTAAAAAATAGTTCAATTATATGATTCTTAAAAATTCTTTGGAAAAAGAATAAAAATTAAAAATCATGTTTTTTGTTAAATTTTTTTGTCATTAAAAAAAAATACTTTTAGCGTATAGTATACGAATTTTTCTTAAAGTTATATGTTATATATATGCGAAATTATTTCAATTATACGGTTTTTATAGTTTTTTTTTGTAGGGGGATATATGTACATGACAGAGAGAAGGGCGAAGTGTTATATCTCCATTCGGGCGCTATTACATCTCCACGTTACGTTGTAACGCGCGGACGTCGGGTACCATTATTGCGACAGGAGAATCGAGAATTAATACTTTATTTGTGTGTCACTCCAGCTGCGAGGATCAACACAAGTGCACCCCTCGCGACAAGAGGGGTGTACCTTTAATGCGCGGCTCCGCTGAAGGGTGGGACAGGGGGTTCCGGATTCTATGGTTTGTTAATTTTCACGGGATCATCATACCGTGACGTTAGAGTAGATTAGGCTCAATGCGAAGCACTGAACTTTCGCGCCTCTCAATGACCGCTTCTTTCTGCACGGTTGTGGCCGACATTTCGGTTACTGCCGCGAATAAACTGCTAATTCATCGTAACCCTTTACAGACTCTTTTCTGAATAATGATTGCTAAAAGACGACGGAAAAAAAACCATCGCAAGTCATTGTATCTTGCAACATTCGTGGCGCACGAAATGAGATTTAAAGGAGAATGTTAAAAAAGGGCCGATATTAGCCTCCAAAGGTGTAAATAAAAATTATAGTGTTTTTTATAAATTTTTTTTGTTAAAAAGCGCTACGAACTTTTTTAAAATATTAGTTCCATCGTATTCAGGAGATCAAAATTTATAAAAACACTATTGTTTTTACTTACACCTTTGGGGATTAAAATCGGCCCTTTTTTAATATCCTCCTTTGATTTTTGATGAGAAATATTAATATATCTTCTTTACATTTTAAAGATACGAATTATGCGAATATTACATCGCTTATATTAATGTATAATTTTTTTAAAACGAATCTATATGCTTTTTTACTATTTGGTTATTACTTGGCTCGCGTGTATTAGCTCGGGGTTAAAAAAAATCGTTCACCCTGATCGAGCGTGCGAGCGATAAGGGCAGGTGTATCGACACACCTGCGTCAACCCAGATAAGCTCTCGGTCACTCGAACGCTGTATAAACCGATTCATATTCTCTCTCTTGAGAGTATATTTGATAAGAACTGCTTTGATTACCACAGTCTTTCTTTAATATTAATGTTATTTCTTATCGCCATTTACGGATATTATTTTCAAATTAACTAGTTTCCCTTGTATAAAACAAAAAAGCCACAATTACTAGTTTTTTTTTCGAAATTTGAACAGATTCTACGACAATTCTCATGTTGATTATTATCTTAAAAAATCTATTTTTTTTTAATTTCTATTTTAATATTATATACTTTTAAAATATAAGAACTTACTTTTAAATATACTTTTTAAGTTAGATACTGTTCAGATAAAGTTGAAAGTAGATTGAATATATTAAAATTATACAATTTACGTGTTATAACAAATAGAAAAGGGATGCCTCGTCAGAAAGTAACCCGATAAATTCTTCGGATTCTTCGCAAACGCGCGCAAGAAAGATCTCGTGAAAATTTCACTTCTCGTGAAATCCTTCTTCGAAATTGGGAAATTGAGCCGAAAATTGTCAAATGCTCGACGGACGCTTTATTGCGAGAGCGGCACGGGACGTCTTATCGGACAATGAGAGTTTGGAATCGATCGGGGTTATAGGCGACTTGCCTCCTCCCCGCCTCTTGGTGCCACGAAATCGTCCCTAATTGTCCACAAATCGACGGTCACCCTCGATTTCCCGAACCGTTAAGTACAACCACCCGAGGGCGAGGGGACTGCTGTTCCACTGCCTCCCCCCCTCCGCTCGAGACGCCGAGAGGGTTCGGGTTCACCGGGCACACACCCCCAGTAGAATATGGATTCAATTACACCTCATTGTGCCGCGGTGTCTATAAACAACGCTGTTTTCACAGCTGATAGTGGCCCACCGCGCTCTGCGGGTTGCGTACTCCAAGCGAGCGCAGTGAGCGTATTGTACTTTATTTATTAATTGTTAAATCTGTCTGGCTAAAAACTTTGAATTTTAGGAAAGGCTTTAACTCTTGATTGCTTTTCAAATTTTATTTGAAAAAAATTTGTGTTTTTCACATGACCATGGAAATCTCGAGATTTTGCATCTTGTCTGTTTGACGTCTAAAAAATTACAGAAAATAAACAAGATGATATGTACGTAAATATACGTAATATTTAAATATTATAATTTAATATTTAAAGAAAGATAAAAGATATTTAAATATAAGGTAATTAATTTCCTAAAATTAATTAAAGTGTATTAATTAAATAATGAATTAAAAAATCAAAAGTATGCGAACTTTGAAGGGAATTTTAAAAAACGATGCACAAAATAGATTCGCTAGGTAGAGGCGCTTCAGCGTTATCAAGGTCACCGTCATTCCGTTCATCCAGACGGAATTGCGCATAATGAAACTCACCGATAATATAAAATCCACCGTTCAGTCGGCCGAGGGAGACCATCGTGATCGTGGTAGATCGAACAGTGTTTTCACCTCATGCAAACGCACAACGTGGAATTGAAGTTCCTCAAGTTCCTTATCTTCCGCGTTGCTCGCGGCCTCGCAAAGTTGCTAATGACGATAATGATGTGCGATAATAGACCTCCGCAGTCGGTAAGCAAGAGGGAAAGATGGAGAAAGAGAGAAAGAGAGGGAGAGCGGAAAACGGGAACTTGCGACGGCGGCGGCATCGCGAACGACGAGGAGGAAGAACCGAAGGATCGTGAGAAGACTCGCAGCCGTCGACGCCATTATCCCCGTGCGCTGAGTCGCAGGGCGCCGCGACGCCGCAATATCGACGTACCGCCCACCGCGTTTCTCTCCCCGTGTTTCCTGCTCTCTTCCTCTCGCCTTGCTGTCTCACCCAGTCTCTTTCTCTCCCGTCCGTATCCACCCCTGCTAGAACGCGAAAGGAGCATCTTTTAGGGCGTTATCAACCCTTCGGCGGTTTCGGCCATCTTGCTGCTGCTCTATTTCAAGCATAATGCCGTCGAAAGCATCGCTTCGAATCGCAAACTACGGAAAACGCGAACGAGATTTGATAACTTAAAAGCCCCGCGTTAGTAATTTTGTCGCAAATGATGACATAACTTGAATAAGTACGTTTCTCAATGTTGCGAAAATTGACAGAAAAACTTTATTCTTTATCTCGATTTAGTCAAGTCATTTTTTTTTTAAAGTTTATCTTAATTTCGATGCGATATTTATGTTAACTGATGAAGGCGTTCGTAGACGAAATGAAATTCAATTTGCGGTGTTTATTGTCAGAAGAATTTTACTTATCGTTTTGATCTTCGAGCAAAGCGAGTGTGAGTTTTGTCCATCATTTTTGGTGGCCTGCAAGGTGAATGATAATAAACGCAATGAGGTACTCGGAACTACGTTTATTTGGCTTTGTTATTCACAGTGGCAATAATGATGCTCGCTCTGCATCATCCCTTCTATGTCCGTTAATTATGTATAAACGGTGCTTATCCCATTATAATTTGCTTATTTCGGTAATTTCTATTTACAAAGCACGTTTCGCAGAACATTCGTAAAAATGTCTCATAGATATAGACGCATAGATTCGCATCATGCAAAACAGCGAAAACTGAATTGGTCAAAATAAACGTGAATCAATTAATCTCTCCAGAAATAAAGGGAGGCACCTCGTGTAATATGGCTGAAAATTAGATGACTTTTTGGAATTTTTTTTTAGGTAACTATACAACCAATCCTTTTGAACTTTATAGGGTAATTTCTTATACTATTGAACTAACAAAAAATACCGCGTTGGCGCTGATGGTATTTGGCGGCGTGCAATGTAGCGTCGATTGTTTGACAACAAAAAATCCAAAAAGATTATTGTCTATTAGGAGTTTACGCATTAACTAAATCTATTTTTAAAGAAAATAATGCGAAATTGTGAAAATCGCGACACTTGAAAAAAGAAGGTAGCGATTTTGACGAAAATTTTTCGTGTTTATTATGCAATAAAAAATTATTTAATTGAGTATAATATTATCATAAACAGTGTTTCAAGTTATTAGGGAAGTATTTGTGCAGATGTGTGCAAAGGCCCAAGTCAATCGGATCAATAGTGTCTGAGTTAACTTGCACGCCAATTTCAAAAAACTGGTTTCGAGAAAAACGCGTTTAAAGTTTTGGGTAGGAATAACTAACAATTTTCAGGTACTTACAGCTATTTTGTCTTAATCTGCTATCCCATACAATAAACCTTCTGTTTTCTCAAAAAAATCTTGTAAATCTTGCAATTTAAAAAAGAAAAAAATCGATTTTTTTTACCCTCGTTACACGATGTGCCCCCCTAAATCGAGAGAAAAAATTATTCTTTCAGAGAAGTACCTCGTAGTCTTTTAAAATTCTGTCGAAAATATTCGGACTGCAATATTATTTAGAAAAGCAAGGTAACGAATAAGAATCACAATTTTATATTTTTAAATAAAAAATTCTTGTAACTTAAATTTTGATGGCGCGCGTATGTTTTGCAATAGCAAATTCGATTTGTTGTGCGACGCCTTTTCGACGGAGTCGCGAGAGATGTATAAACATCGGTGACCATCCCCGTCGCCCGAAAAAATCGGAGACACTTCGATGATCGTAAGATACAAATAACGAGGATCAGTGACTAGAAACGCTTTCCCTTAGACACTAAATAACACCTTAGATGAGAAACATCCTCGCGACGCGTCCGATCCTCCCTTTACGTCGTAAAAACGAAGTCAAAATTCGCCGTCTATTCGAACGTCGTCCCGTTTTTCGACGTTCGCGGATCTTCCGGCGTCCAGACCTTCGCGTACATCGTCCCGTTCGGCGAGATATCCGACTTTCTCGACCACGAGAGCGAGTGCGAGATGAACGGATTTCCACCGCTGCCTGAAAGTCGCAATTCAATGGAGATTAGCCAAAACTTGCAGAATGTGGAGTTTTGCGGTGGATTAAAATCGACTGGTGACAAGGACTTTTCTTTCTCGTGAAAAATGTGTAGAATTTCCGATTTAAAACTGCCAAAATATCGGCATTTTCACACAATAAACGTTTCAACTAATTATTGCAAATCACAATTATTGGCAATTTAAAAACCTCGAAAATTACTATAATTATTACTTGCGCGAGAATGGAGCTTGTAAATAATAGCGGTCACGCGCGATTCCCGAAATTTTTGATAATCTCTCAATTACTCCCCGGTACAATAAATTCACCTCGAAGCACCTCGTATCTAACGGGGACACCTGTCCCGGAATAAAGGGTAGATGGGTAATTACGATAAATCGACCTATGATTTTGCGCGGGGTGGAAGCGGGCCGGTCTGACGCTAATACGTTGTGCACATAATATCGAAATAGCGTGGAGGGCGGCGGTACCGTTTTGCATTATCAAATCGAATCTCGCGGCGGCGGTAGTGAAAATCGAATCATGGATTCAACGAAATTTCAGCGAGGTCCGATTTTGTTACACGTGTTGCGCGTCACGTTGTAAAATTTAAGTCATACACGTACGCTGTCATAAACTTTAAACATGACTGGCACTACAAATATAAAATACTGACAGTTCTCGACGTTAAAACTCCGTTTCGATTAGTTGCAACTCGATTTTCCTTTCAGTTAATTCATTGAAAATATGTTGAGAAAGCTAAGCAAAGTTCTATCCTTAATCTTGTACATTTTAATTTAGATTAACGTTGATTCTGGTTTTTATTCGGTGTGAATTTAATGCTAAAAACTGAGATAAATACACGGAAAGATTTTGTTAAAAGATCTAAAAATTTTGCTAAATACAGATCTGAAAATAATTTTTTGATAAATCATCGAAATAATTTGTTAGAATGTTCAAACTGATAATAAGCATTGCTATAAAACGTTTTGATATTCTAGCAATTATTTTGACTTTCGCACAAATTATTTTGATTATTGAACAAAAATTGTTTTTAGATCTGAATTTAGATCAATTTAGATCAAAATTGTTCCGTCATGTATCAAAAAGTAAATTCACCAAATTTTACCGCTATAAAAGATTCGCCGTTAATCTCAATAAAAATTTAATAATAGTTAAATTTGTCTATAAATACTATATTTTGAATAAGGATTTTTTTTAGCATCGAATTTATCGGTGTATAAGTAAATTGATTGTCGCGTTGCATTAATCGAGAACTGCCCGTGGAGATGTAATTAAAATTGGCCTCACCACGGACTATGACCTTCTTGGTTTCGTCCCGGCTGGAACACCTCGAGAGACCGCTATTGCCCGTCAAGGGGTCGTTACCCTTGTCCGCCCTGACGAGCTCGTTGAGGAAGTTTATGTAACCGATCGCCAGCTTGAGCGTGTCGACCTTCGACAATCTCTTCTCGTACGGCAAAGTTGGTATGTGAGCTCTCAAGCCCTCGAAGGCATCGTTTATGTTCTGCATACGTCTTCGCTCCCTCATATTCGCCGCCTGCCGTTGCTGCACTTGTACCTGTCTTGAACATTTTCCTGACGGTCCGCCGCGCCGGTTACTCCGACCTCGTCTACGGGCAAAAGTGGCGAACTGAATGCTGTATGAATTTCAAAGCGATCAAAAAAATTTTGATCTTACATGTGCAGTCAATATTAAAATATACTTTATCGTCATTCAATATTCAAGAAGCGTCACTTTAAACGTTTTATCATGCAGTTTGAAATTATTACCTCATACACGGAAGGAACAATTTTGCTGGATCCAAAATTGAAAATAATTTTTGTTCAATATTTTGTTCAATAGGTAATCAAAATAATTCTGTTGGAAAATCGCAATAATTGCTAGAATATCAAAACGTTTTATAGCAATACTTATAATTTTTAACTTTCGAATGAATTATTTTGATGATGGAACAAGAATTATTTTCAGATCTGTATTTAGCAAAATGTTTAGACCTTTCAACAAAATCGTTCTTTCCGTAGAGAATTTTAATATCCCTAAGCAAATCTTTTATCGAATTTTAAATCAAATTTCAAAGATTCAGCAATTCGGGAAGAAAGAACGATTCTAGATCTATAGAGAAAAGAAAGAAAAAAAAGAGAAAGAGAAAAAAGAAATCCGAGAATCCAAAGTGTAGGAAGACACTCACTCTCTCGCGTGATTCTCCTGATCGCTGCTGTAGACGCTCTCGTTGTCACTGCTGTTCTCGTCGTAGAGATAGTGCTCGCTGCCGCTGGTACTACCGGTGCTACCGGACGGATGATGGGACGATGGGATCTGCGATGGGATCACCGCCGGAAGCGTCGCCGTGGTCGGTACCCCGCAGTGCGGCGGCAACGCCGGGATAGCCGGATTGCCCAGGAAGCTGTGCGCCTCGTACATGTATTGCCGGTTCATCATATCTCGCTCGAGATTGTCCATCGAATACATGATAACGGTATCCAGTTTTGCAATAATCACTCAGCTTTGACGATTAGAGGTTTCACGGTCTTAATTACAATAATCTTTTCTCTTAGTTTGTTGTTGCTTATCGGATCTGAAGATTGATCACTATAGTTAACGAAAAATACGACTAGATTGTATGACTAGACGGCAGGTAGACTGTCGTGTACCTTACGCCATTTAATTCTTCGCTCCAGACGCTTTGAGCGATAATCGTTTAATTATCGGACGAGCCTGGCGACCGAATTAAATTCTGAATCCCCGTGGACGAGCTGGACGGTCGCATCGTTCGTTGGAATTTTCGATCGCGCCCTTGAACACGTCTCGAGGATTGGGGAGATACGATCGACACGTGTGTCAGCTAGGTAGGCGCGTGCAGGATAATATTTCTAAACAGCGGCACGTGTCTTGGCCGAAGCCATTCCGGGCACGTGTCGAGATTTGTCCAAACACTCGTTAACACTTGATGCTTCAACGCTTCGAGATACTTCGGTTCGTGTCCAACGATGCCACTTATGACATTACGATTTACTGTTTACGTCATCCCGAAGATTCTTATATTCACGATGCATGTCTGTGAGAATAATATCTCTTTATTACATATTCTTATATTTTTATTCTTTCTCGCTCGCGAGTATAAGATTCTCTTATACTTCACGCAGAATTTTAATTCACTTTTTTGCAGTTGCAGAGAAGAACAGTAGTAGAGAATTTGGACGTATTAGTTATATTGGCAACCAATTAGTTAAAATCTATTACTTAAAATCTTCTCCGTCAAAATGCTCGTTATTGCTAATATTACACTGCTGTTCGTTTTATTAAATTTTACGCGTAGCTTCGTTTATTTTTCCACTGTAAGAAACTTTTGCGTAAGATTCACGTGGAGCTTTTATCATATTGTAATTGCGTGAACTATTCCTTTGTGATTACACAGATTTCTTCGTTTATTAGTTTAAATATGGCACTCTGAATTATATTCTATTTTCGCAATTATAAACGGTTTTTTCAATGAAGACATCTGACTGAATATTATGATTGCATTTGGCCGTTCTTTCCGTATAAACTTTATTTATTTTTAAAATATCTTTAGTGCGTCATCCTTTGTATTTTGCACTGACACTTTAATTGTCTTCCTTCAGATTTGTTTGTTACACCGGTCGTCTGGATTGTCACAATTGTCATCTGCAATTCTTCCAATAGATATAGAGATCACTAAGAAAATTTGCATAAATCTTGAATATCTTAAAGGAAGTTTCCCCTAATTGCACATTGCAATTGCATTAACGTCTCAAATATTCGTGGATCGTCCAGATTGTTACGACTGTCGGTTGTGAATTTCTGTAAACAACACAGCGCCGTGTTAATTTAATTATTCTTAAGCCTTTTCTTTCAAGTTTCCATGTTAGTCTTCAGTTTCTCTCGCACTCGCACTGACAACTTATGCATTTCCCCGTAGATCCGCTCTCCACGAAAAACGTACGATTCTCCGCGGAAAACACCACCGCACGACTTCTTCGGAAATATCCTTGAATGTTCTTCTGGGGTGTTCGCCGATTTCGCGCCCGAAACGTATCGGAACCTTCCGCGGCTTCCTGTCGACCTGCAGACCACCTACCGTGCTACCGATCGTTCAGGTGGTCTCTCGCTGGACTAAAATCGAAAAGCAGCGAGAGCAGCAAGGCGGAAGCCATGCCGAGGTTGAAAGCCCAGCTACGACCCCATTCGTCGAGCGCGCGGTCGGCAGAGCCTGCCTACCCCTTGGTTGCTGGGGTAGCGGCGCCGCCTCTTCATCGATCTGATAAGGAACTCTCTCGCTCTCTGCCGTCATTTCCGTTCCTAGGAACAGCGTCCCGAAAACGCTGCCGGGAGAATCGCGGCCGATTGGAACGTACACTTTTTCGAAAATGATAACAAGATGATTCTTAATAAATTCGCGCAATTCGCGTCTGGAAAATGTTGAAAAATGGAACTGAAGTAAACTGGAACTTTATTGAAAAAAAAATCGGATTTAGAGCAGTCAAGTGGGTGTCTGTTTATCGAGCAAATGCTGAAGAATATAAAATCGTATAAGATTAAATACTTTATATCAGTTACTGAAATATAATCAAGTTGTGCCATAAAAATAATTCATATGAAATATAATAATTTATATAAAAATAATTCAATTATAATTTCTATGTGTATAATACATTAATATGGATAGTTATTTATTAGGCAACAAAATCAGGTAGCGTATAAATTAAAGTGTTTCTTTATCTATAAGAGTCATCTTGTTATCATTTTCAAGCAAGTGTACGTTCCAATCGGTTGTGATTCTCCCGGCAGCGTTTCAGGAACGGGAACGGCGGTTTTTTAAAAAGCATTGCGAAATATTTTCTTTTGATAGCATCTCTCATAGAGAGCGCCAACCAATTACATAAAATATTTTTTAGGTAAATTTATAAATTCTTTGAAATGTGAATATCCTTTTAAATATTTTTATTCAAGCTCAAAGATGTTAATCAGTAGGTAATGTTTTATTTCAGAGCCGTCAACTGTCTGTCTGTCGAAACTGTTGAATAAAAAGCGCTGACCCTTATGCCTGCTTGGCATTTTTCACGAAAAGTTTTTATCGCCGTTGGATGTTGTTCGTTATTTGTGAACTTGGCTAACCATAGGTTTTGTCCACATCGAACTTACAGAATTTTCAAGTACAGTCTATAGCGGCTTCATGAATTCGTAATTATACGACGGACGCGAACGAAAGTCCATTGCAGTGAAGAAAGCCGGCCGGTTAAAAAACCAGCGAGCGAGAGAAAATTTGCGACGCCAAACAATAAAGTGAAACGTATTAATGTTGTTTTTACACTTATACGTAGTCTTTTACCTAACACATAAATTTCGATGTATACGCAAAACGATATAATGTATGAAACATATTGTATAGAAAGATAAATGAATAAAAAGAACATTAAAATAAATAATTTGTAAAAATATATATACAGTAACATAATGATTTAGACAATTTATAATCTGTATTTTACTATTTCAGATAAAATTCTGTTTATAATTTTATGAACTGTGAAATATAAAATACATTTCAAAAATTAAAATACACGCATATACAAAGGCTTTACAGTACAAAATATAATATTTATTAGAAAATGTAAAGCCAATAAAACGAGAAAAATTTTTTTGGTTGATTAATTAATACAAAAACTGATAATTTAATAATTAACAAATTGATGGAACGTTTCGACTTACTTAGCCATCATCAGCCATATATCATACAAATTTACATTAGGGGGATCCTTCGTCACACGGGGCACATACATACATTCAGTGATTCGGGAAGAATTGCGCAGATTCAGAACACGTCTTTACATATTTAGTTAGTCTTATTGCGCGGCCACATGCTAGCAAAATTTCATATTAGTCGGACTACATAAACCGACAGATTAGGATATTACATGTTTTAGCGCTGTTTCAGTAAATTTTCCAAGGTATTTGACAAGTAATTTAAGATATCTTTAATACAATATATTAACAAGTTATAAATTTAAGATTTATAAATTTAAGATATCTTTAATACAATATATTAACAAGGTTATAAACAAGAACAATATTTTTCTAGTAAGTAAATTGTTAGCGAGTTCTGTAAAAAATAGTATAATTGTTTTCTTTTGAATTTGGAGTAGATTCGTACACAAACATGAGGGCATATCTTTCGTATATGAATATATTATTTTGTCACTTAATTAAAAAAATTATTTTAATTAAACGTTTGAATTTTTGATCTCAACATTGATTTAAATACTGAATAAAATAAAAAAGTTTATTTCATTAAGTTTATTTTATGCAGAAGTTTATAAAAAATGTTTAATTATCTACTGACAAGATTGTTTTCATTTAAATTTTAATTGTCAATAAATATTTAGAATAATAATTTTAATGTTTTATGTTTATATCCGAAGCTATCTCATGCATACATAGGTGCCCTATTACATGTACGAAGCTATCCCGCCTGAGGGGTAGATTCGTACAATTTTCAAGTTTTGTAAAAATCATCTGCGTTTAGTTATACATTAATTTATGATTTTAATTGCTTGTATTTAATTGTTTTTATTATAGCTGGATATCTGTACTATTTACTGGTACAAGCTTAAGTAGTAAAAGCATTTAAGACAGTTTGGGAAGTAAAACTTCTAAAAGCGTACGAAGGATCCCCATTTTCTCCTACAATTAAAATTGGCATTATCGACGCAGATGCTTACTCTTGTCCACTCTCGTCTAAGCTACACAGTAAGACAGACGCATTTTTCTCGCCTTCTGATTCCGTTAGACACGATACTTCTCAAAGTATGGAAACTTATAGCGTGTTCTCGTTATGACAGCTTGGAACCAGCTTCTACTCGTTTAACACACAACCGTTAATATACTCCAAACGTCAAGGATTAGATAAACGACGAAATACACACAAATACGTATACGGGGGATTAATTAGACATTGTATCATTGAATGACGATTTATGATAGTCAAGATTGTAGAACTGCGACAAACGTAAGACATCTGTGTCGATAATGTCAATTTTAATTGTAATGTAAATTTGTATGATGACTGATGATGGCTAAGTAAGCCGAAACCATCAATTTGTTAATTATTAAATTATCAGTTTTTGTATTAATTAATCAACCAAAAAAGTTTTGCTGGTTTTATTGGCCTAACTGATCTTTTCTATTTTATTGTTTTATACATACGAGCGTTAAATATCTTTTTTACTTTTTCTGCAACTTTTGGCGATCTTTTTTTCCTACTTTCTTATTCATTACTAATTCGCTTGTGTACTCGAGTTCTCTTTCGGGAAGCTATTTCAAACAGCGAAGAGAACATCGTCGAATCACGGATAAGCTCGTCGTAATAGAAAAGAAATTGGTCGCACGTGACTCGCACGTGCGGCCGCAACGTCGTAGCAAAGGGTTGCTTCCCGGGTTAACCGCTTCGGCGACATTTGGCCCTGCCAAGCGAACCTGTAATTATACGTACCGTAACAGGTACGATCTGATTTCACCAACGCGTTATTAAGCATCAGATAATAATGTTTAATAATGCACTGCGGTTATGCAATATGTTTGCCGGATGCACGCACCGTTTTCTAACCGGGCAATATTCACAGTAATTCTGTATAAAAGGTACCACGTGTCGGAAATAAAAAAAGAGTGTCACCTGTTTTCAAGGTATTTTTGTCGTGAATATATAAAAAATCACCTAATTGTAGAATCTATATTAATTACAAAAGATCTATAGAAAAAAAAATTTTATAAATAAAATAAAACTCTAACAATTGTTTATTACAAAAAAAATTTCACAAAAATTATTATAAATGAAATATGTTTTTTATCATTACGTAACGAAATTTTTAACAATTGACATATTAAAAAAAAAAGATTAATTCTTTTGACACAATAAAAATATTGATTTGTATTTTTTCTGCAATAATAATTGTGATTTCATTTAAAAAATATTTTTATAGCGCGGCAGTAATAATTACTTATTTATATTACTTAATTATTAGACATAAGATCATTACATTTTTTATCACATTATGTTACTTTACGTCTATTTTACACGTATTCAGTTGATCACATTATAATATTAAATTTACGTCTATGACTTTTTATTCTTTGATTATCAATCAATTTCTTATTACTTGAACAATTGCACTTTTTGAAAAAGCAATTTATTGAGTAACCATGCAAATCACTTGATACTTATCAGCATTTTAAATAAAGTGTTTGTTAGATATCTCAATTCAATATCGTTTCATGTATTTTTATATTTTTAGTATGTGCTGAAAGGACCCAAAAATAAGACCGAATATTTATGTTACATATAATATCAAACATATATCACACTTCATATAAATATTATAAATACATATTACACATATTATAAATATTACAAAAACCTTATAGTGCTCGTATGGGTATTTTTACTTTTGTATGATTTAATTCGTTAAAGCTTAAATATTTCGATTTTAATTAATTATTAAAATTACTTATTATAATATTTGCTATACCTACTTATTATAATAATAAACTTTTTATATTGCAGTGATCGTATTATCTTCAAATTCTATGTTCATATTTAGTATTTCTAACAGTATTTTAATATTTAATAACAGATAAATTTTTTCACGCGGGAGAAGCTCTCTTTTTTTGATAATGCCGACAGCTAATAAACTGGGCCCTGTTACAAATTTCCTTACATTTCTGGATGATTTTGGGCCTCATCTATTATATACTAGTAATTAGCAACCCGAAATTACGAGGTGAGGGTACGTCAAACCCGGATGAGTTATAGGTCCATCTGTGACGCTTCTCCGGAAAGAATCGGGAAAACGGGGCTATCAGTTCCCACGGTTGTAATTAATATCCTCATTTGTTAATAATTACATGTTGTGCTACATTAACGCTTTTCGTGTGTAGTATCACATGTGTTGAAATAATTAAAATATTTATGCTAGTTTTACTATTACATTGATGACATATATGTACAAGTAATTTTTCCAAAGCAAGATTTAAAAATTTTATCTAAAATAATTTAAAAAATAATTAATTAAAAATATAACGATTGTAAATCTGGCTACAGAAATTAGCATTAATATTT